CGCTGCTGCTATCGCTACTGCTGCCGCTGCTGCTGCTGCTGCTACTGCTGTCACGGCCGCCGCTGCTTCTGCTGCTGCTGTTGCTGGTGCGTCCGGAAAAAGCGGGAGGGGGCAAATCCACCGTCGCTCCATGCTGCGGCACGCGAATTCGCGCATGTACCCTGGGTGGCGAGAAGGCGCCGCGCCGCACAGCCGGCTAGATATATGTAGTCGCGTACACACGCACACACGATCGCGCAAGCCCGACATTTCGGCCGGCCCGTTCACCACGGCTGGCTGATCGAAAGAGCTGCTCCTGACCCTTCGTCCGCGCTTACGGACGCTCTCTCTGCCTTATCCCTTTCAGCCCCGTGCACGCGGGGTGTTCCATTAGAGACGGAGAGCTCCGCGCTAATCCTCCCCGCATCGCTTTGAGATCCCGTGGGGGCGCGCGCGCGCGCGAACGCAATTAGAAAACGGTATTCTTGAGATCGCCGCGAGATTCCCGGATCGGAGGGAGCGAGAAAAGTACTGAAATTAATTGCGTGACCCCGAGACATGTATATTCGTTGTCTCGTATTGGTTTTCCCTTGGGTTTTCCGATAGGCACACGACCCTCTAGATACAATTGAGTGTATTTTGCGTGTAAATCAATACGTTAGTATTGCACAACTGGTCATTGGAGACCATCGCCGGCAACGCTCGCCTCGGGCAATCTGTAATTCAGACGTCAGGACGAAATTCTAAAATTTGTAGCTTTACATACCTCGTGTACATTTGAATATATATATATAGTTTTAGCAGAGAAGCATATATTTCCGCATCAAGTACAGGAGTGACGCAAGTAAAAAGGATGAATTTTCCCGTTTTTTATAATTTATCAACTCGACGGCACGTACTTTTGTCTAGTAAAGCATCACAAGTGTAGCTGCAAAAGTTTCATCCGAAAAGGGTCCAATGCGAGGATTGCATTTTGCTTTAAAAATCGCGACGATGAAGGGAAGGAACAACGAGAAAAGCACGATTCTCGCGTTATGGAAAAAAATCTACGGAGGCAAGAAAAGGAAAAGGATGAAAACGACGTAGCAGACCACGCGTGGTTGCAGCTGTGTGCGATCTGCAGATAGAAAGTTTCAAATCGGTTCCCCCGCAAAGTTGTGTCGCTGTTATCATCGCATCATTGTAATCAGAAAACTCTGTCTTCTCCCCTCTTTCAATCGGCTATTTAGAAAGAGCCAACGTTTTATTTCGAGAGAAGCTTCCTAGGCCGGTATTACATTTGTCGTACGACACATTTTTGAAGAATGTTAACTGCAGGATAGAATGTTTCTAGATACTCGAAAACTTTACTATCCTGGAATCAACATGCTTGAACATTTTATCGTACGACAAATGTAATATTAGGCTAAGGCTGGTATTACATTTGTCGTACGACAAACTTTTCAAGCGTGTTGATTGGCTGCTGAATAGAAAATTTGTAGATACTCGAGAATTTTACTATCCTGCAACCAGTCAATATGCTTGAAAAATTTGTCGTACGACAAATGTAATATTAGGCTTATTTGACGGAACTACGCTGCAGCGCGTCTCTCGCACGAAAGATATACTTCACGAAAAATATGTCTGGCACGAGGCGCTGTCGCGTCTCTCGATGTACATTTTACACGACATGTATATAGTTTTTGATACATTTTCAAAGATCGTATTTCTACGTGCGCGCGTCTCGCACATTCCGACCCCTCGAATACCTTCTGCATTACACAGGGCGCATAAGATTATAAATAGAATCTTAGTTCTGGCGCGAATTATAGATCGGCTGAATCGGGCTTAAAGCATTCGGGGGAATACCCGGGCGGAAGATCGGCGTGTCGAATATGGACCGTCGCTCGTTCTAAGGCTGATGGCAGAGAACGATCCGTAAACGCTCGAGGGCCAGTTTCACAAACGGCAGAGAATCGATTAATCTTCGGTTAACTGCTAACCGAAGATTAAGCGATTCTCTGTCTTTTCTTAGACAATAAGACAGAAAAGATAGGGAGTTGACTGAACTCTGGTTAACAATTAACCGACGTTTGTGAAACTGGTCCTGAGACCCGGTTTCACCAAACGTCGCTTAACTTCAACCTTATAAGTTTAAGTCATATTTGTCTCTTGCTAAAGTAACAGTTGGAAAGAGACAAAGAACGAATTAAACTAAGCTTGAGAGTTAAGCGACGTTGGTGAAACCGGGCCTCAGTCGTAGACGTAAGGCAAGGCAGAGAAAAACTTAAGTCGTGAAAGTCCATTGTATACGATTTATTATTAAGCGTTTGCGGATCGTTCTCTGCCATCAGCCCAAAGGCCCGAACGCACGAAAAAACTTAAGCGGTAAAACTTAAGACTTAAGGGAAATGACCAATGACTGTCGAGAACGTAAGCAGCCATTTTGCAACTTAAGCAATGCTGAAAATTCCGATTGGTTGAAACTCTTAAGTCTTGAGTTTTATCGCTCAAGTTTTTTCGCGTGTTCGGGCCTTAAGCAGATTAAACGGTCGCGAGGACCCCGAGTTGCTCCGAGATTCAAACGCCTCCGCTTTAACGAGCCGTCGAATCGGGCCCGAGCGGGCCGCGTTTAGAAAGTTGCTTTAACCGGTCGAGCGTGCACGAGCCCCAACGCTTTTCGACGCTTATCAACGCATGTAGTATGCGAGGCGGATGCGACGATAACGGCACGGCTCGCTCAATTCGCCCGGCTGTTATCGCCGCGGCGGGCAAGATAATCGTTGCATTGAATTCGTCTTTTATATTCCGCGAGCTGCATGTCCGCGGCCCGCCCTTGCACCGAAGTATCGCGACGGTATCAATGAACGATCATCTACAATACAGGGAAGCAAACTTGGGAGTCAATTCTGTATCTTGCACTAAAGTGAAAATGCTAAGTCTCGGTTTTACCAACGTTGTTTAACTTTAAGCTTAGTTTGATTTGTTCTTTGTCTCTTCCCAACTGTTACTTTAGAAAGAGACGAACGTGAATTTAACTAACAATAAGATTAAAGTTGGGCGACGTTTGGTGACACCAGGCCTAAAAGTTAGTAGCTTTGTCTTTCTAACTGTCCCCTTGGAAAGGGATAAAACCGCCCACTTTTAGCATTTTTACTGTATTGTAAGATGCAGAATTGACGCCCTGGCGTAAGAAGTACGAGCAGAAGTAAGGGTCAGAGCACAAAGCAACGTAATATGTTACGACAAAGACGTAAGCGTAAACGTAGATGGCGCACAAGCTTTGGTGTAACGTCATATGTAATTGGATTTAAGTACGACATACACCAAAGCTTGTGCGCTATCTACGTTTACGTTTACGTCTTTGTCGTAAGCTATTACGTTGCTTCGTGCTCTGAAGCTGGAAACACACGAAAAAACTTAAGCAGCGAGACTTAAGACTTAAGAATTTCAACCAATCGGAATTTTCAGCATTGCTTAAGTTTAAAAATGGCTGCTCGCGTTCTCGACAGCCACTGGCCATTTCTCTTAAGTTTTAAGTTTTACTGCTTATTTTATGCTTTAAATCTTTGCCTTGAGTCCCAGTCTACAATAGATGATTTAAATAGATGATCTAAGCCTTAAGAAATTGACCAATCACGGTCAAGTATGAGTAGAATACGCGGCTGTGATTAGTCAATTTCTTAAGGCTTAAGGTTTTAAATCTCTATTGTAGATGGTCACTAAAGTAACGCACAATAACTGTCTTGTGACATAAAAATACGAGACAGCCATTCTGCTCAGACCCTAAATTTCTCAAGGCTTATAAAATCTGTAGACCAAAAGACTTTTTACTTTCCTTCCGATAGACGGCCCGTAAACTGAAGACAGTAATCACTCCGGTTATCTTTCTGCTCCAATTCAACCGAATATTTCGTTACTCTATCTTTTCTGTAAAAGTATCTTCTCTACAAAAGTTTTACCTCTATAAAAATATCTTCTCTACAAAAGTAATAATAATATAATTTGTTTCCCCTCGGGGATTACAGGGCGTTTTTGAAGGAACGTACCCAAACCTTATACATTATTCTCTACAAAAGTAATGATATCAACAGATTGCGCCAAATATAACAATGGAAGTAAATCTATATTAATATAAATATGTATTACTGACGACGGTAGTCACTCCGGATATCTTTCTACACGGGGTTCCCGTGTCTCTCGTTTCCCCGTGCATTTCCGTGCGCGGAATAGCGATTCTGTTTCGCGAATGTTACGCGTTTTACATTAGGGTCGCGAGGCAGATTGTAGAAACATAAGCGAGTACGTCGCGTTGAAATTTAACCAAGTTTAAAACTATGGCGGGGAACAACCTCGGGTGGGACAGATGCGGATCGCTCGTAATTATTCCGGGGCGAGCGCGCGTCGTTGGAGAACAGCCGTTGGGACGGAGCTTTCTCGGCGCAGCGAGTCGAAACGTCGTTAACAATCTCCCGCACGTTCGTCTCGTACGCCCGAGTTTAACTACGATCCTGATTAACGGCGAATGGCGGGAATCGCGCGGTTTGAACGGCGAAAATGGTGGCGGGGCGGCAACGCGCGGCGATAGAATTTGCACGTCTTTGTATCCGGTGAGCCCGGGGTGGAGGCGGCGAAGGAGGCGGAGGAGGCGGTGGCGGCGGCGGCGGCGCCGTAAGCGAATTCTCGCGGCACCTCGCGGCGTCCGGGCACGACGGGGCGCGGAGCGGAGCGGAGCGGCGAGAATCGGCGCGATTTCGCAGCGGCGCAGCGCAACGACGGCCCTGGCCGGGGGTTGGTTGGTCTCTCTCTTCTCTCTCCGGAGGTGTTGTTACATACTCGCGGCAACGACGGCGTCGGCTTTTGTTGTTTCTCACGCGAGTGGTGCGGAAGGCGCGAAGAGAGGAGCGGCGGCGTAACGTGCAGCGTTACGAGCCACCGGCAGAAGTGGAGGAGTAGGAGAGCGGAGCGGGAGAGCGGAGAGGGAGCGAGAAAGAGGGAACGACCGAGCGGGGGAAGGGGGGGGGAGAGAAGAGAGAGAGACGGAAAGGGAGGAGAAACAGCGTCGGGAAGCGCTGTGGCACGCGGTAGAGCGAAAAATGGCGAAGACGTTTCGCGCGGTGACGGTCTCGAGTCTGTCAAACAATGGACAGTCCACGCCGAAGTACAACAAACCGGTCGCGCTCAATATCAATTACGACCCGCAGGGCCTCAGCGTCGAGCTCGTCTCAGGTACGAATCCGCGGCGGTACACCCGCCGTGTTCGCCCGCGAACCCCCCATCGGCAACCGTCGCCCGACGCGGCGCGACGCGGCTGATCGATCACGCGACCCGGACAACATAACCACACTCGCGTCGCGCCGCGCCGAGGTTCCCCACGCCCCCCGGTTCCTCCGGGCCCCGGCCGCGGCCCCCGCGGGGACCCAACCCGGACGATCGCCGGTCGATACCGCGACGTCATCCTCTACCGATTCGCGTCCTTCCCTCCTTCCCCCCCTCCCCCCCGATTCGCGTCTCACGGGCTTCTTTTTGTCCCGCTCGCGTATCGCGCGCGCCTCCCGACCGCCGTGCGGGCGAGTCGTATGCGTATATTTTACTCCTCACTTGTCGCGGCTGACATTGAGGAGTCGCCAGTCGGTGACAGCTTCAATCGAGTTCCATTGTTTACGCGACGCACCGACGCCACTGTTATATTTCACATCGGAAAGATCGCCTGAAACCCCCAATCGGAGAAGTTTCCGTCGGCAGTATTGCATTTTTTTTTCTCTCTCACTTTGCACCCTCTGTAATGTGTGTAACAAAGCACGATCACGTTCGTTTCAGGAGATGTCAGCAGGGAGAAGGCGACTCTCTTGGAATTCCCAGTGACTCCCAGTACCGAGTGTTCTCGCGTGTCATCTCGAAGTTATGTTTTCACGCTCGATACAGATAGCTTACTGATTACATTTGCTAACGAGACAGGTGAGCTCTCACGACGGTGACCACAAAGGCGTGATGTGATATCATATCCGCAAGAAGCCCGGCTCTAACGCGTACGTTTCGTTCGCAGATTTCCGCAATTTTCACTCGCACATAGTAAAACTCAAGATGGGGAAAGGTGTGTCGGCGTTCAACGAAAGAACGGAGGAGTCCTCGGCGATGCAGTATTTCCAGTTTTACGGCTATCTCTCGCAGCAGCAAAACATGATGCAGGATTACATTAGGACCAGCACGTACCAGCGAGCGATCCTCGGGAATCTGTCTGACTTTAAGGATAAAGTTGTACTAGACGTGGGCGCTGGTTCTGGGATACTGTCGTTCTTCGCCATACAAGCCGGCGCGAAGAAAGTATACGCCGTGGAGGCGAGCAATATGGCGAATCACGCCGAGCTTCTAGTTGCAGCTAATAATTTATCAGATAAAATAATAGTCATAGCCGGGAAGATAGAGGAGATCGATTTGCCCGAAAACGTGGACTGTATAGTGAGTGAGCCTATGGGATACATGTTGTACAATGAACGAATGCTCGAGACCTATCTACACGCGAAAAAGTGGTTAAGTCCAGGTAAACGTCTCGAGGGGAGAATCATACGCCGCTCCTCTTTTTTTCCCCCCCTCCGTTTTCCTTAATCGTTGTTTTCGTGTGTACAGGCGGAAGAATGTTTCCCTCCAGAGGTGATCTGCATATCGCGCCATTTTCCGATGAAAATCTTTACATGGAACAATTCAATAAGGCCAATTTTTGGTACCAGACATGTTTCCACGGGGTAGATCTCTCTGCCATGAGAAATAACGCCATTAAAGAATATTTTAGACAACCGATTGTCGATACTTTTGATATTAGAATATGTATGGCAAAATCTGTAAGGCACATAGTAGACTTCCAAACAGCTGATGAGACTGATTTACATAAAATAGGTATGGGACGGAAGAGCGAAACGTATAATCATATTGATGATATATGATGCGAGAGGCTGCTAACGTTCAACAAATTGTTTTAGAAATAAATGTCGATTTTCATATACTGGAGAGCGGTACATGCCACGGTTTAGCTTTTTGGTTCGACGTAGCGTTTATCGGGTCGACGCAACAAGTTTGGTTGAGTACTGCTCCTACAGAACCTCTAACACACTGGTACCAAGTACGCTGTTTATTGGAAAATCCATTGTTTTGTAAAAGCGGGCAGCTACTCTCTGGAAAGGTCATTCTTATAGCGAATAAAAGGTGAGGGAATTCATGTGTCTGTTTCCAGTTTAAATCTCCTCGGTATTTAACTCGGTTATAAATTTTTTATCTCTCAACGGTTTGCCATTATCTCGTGTGTGTACATGTTACATTTGTTTCAGACAATCCTACGACGTAACAATAGAACTGAAGCTCGAAGGAACGAATCTGGAGAGCAGTAACAACACCTTAGACTTGAAAAATCCTTACTTCCGATACACAGGCGCGGCGGCGCAGCCGCCACCTGGTTTAAACAACACTTCGCCTAGCGAGTCCTACTGGACGACTCTGGATGCGCAGGGTGCTCGACAGGCGGTGAACATGGTCAATGGAATGTCGGTTAACGGTCTCGGGGAAGTCTCGATGGATACAAGCGCGACAGTAAATCCAAATAATTTGCTGGCAATAGGTAAGGTTTGGTTTGACTCCTCAGTGTATCATTACATGTATTAATTACGCCATGTGGAATATATAATATTTGTATAATCAACGTTTTTGCCACGTGCATCGTGCATCTCGGCGATTTTAATTATCCGACGTCTAATTTTCATGCAAAACGTATTTATGAAATTCTGTGTCGCAAAATGTATGGAAGGTGGCCACGTGGTCATAAAATGATCTCGGCCCGTCATTCTATGTATTCGATATATAACGATATTTAAAACATAAAGTATCCAAATATATAAAATTATAAACGTTTCTCTCAGTGATAATAAATGACCGTATTTATAATTTGAGACATCCTAAATTCCAGTATTGCTCAAAATAAGTATATTTCCTTTTTAAGTCTACCGAATACATCATCTACCATAATGCATTTTAAATAACATATAAGAGTGTTCTACTCTTTTTTTTGCCAAAGTTTTACTCTCTTTTTTTTACTTTGTTTCATTAAAACCTACATTAAAAGCTTCTTCCGTGTAAACATACAATTAAACGAGAATACTAGCATGAGAAATCTATAATATTTTTAAAACCTCTTATTTACGTAGTAACTGTTGAAGAGAATGATTTCAAGTTATTAGATGTTTTTAGCATAGACACTTTTTCTTTCTGTACACACATTTAAATGGTGAAGTTAAAAGTTCCTGCGGATTATAACAACAATTGCAGTTGATACAACATTCAGATGAAACACGAGGAATATAAAACATTTTGGACTGTTTGCAACGCTGATATTATTATAATTACAGATTAATTATTAATTATAAATATCAAATTATCAATTTATGGACCTTTTAATTGTACTAGTACTTACGGAATGGACACACACATTTTATTATTCTGCATCATGGAAGATATTTGTACAAAGAAGAAAAAGTTCCTTGTAATTGTTCTAATTTATACATATTTTGTAGAATCTACAACTCATGTAAATAAACTTGTTTTTAGTAGTACGGATTTATAAATATTTAACTGTACTCTCTAATATCCCTTTTTTTTAAATTATGTATTCTTTTCCTCCCAACATTTAGATGTAAGTTATTCTGTTATTTACTGTAACAATGAATTGGCGATAAACTGAAGTATTAGAATAAAAACTTTGATCTTTTTCTATCGATATCCGCCGTTATGAATATAAAATGGCGTGGTTTGTATATATATATTTTTTTTGTTAAATAATTTATAAATACATTTTCTACTCGTTTTGCATCAAATGTTTTTATTGTAATGTTTTGAGCACGCAACTACTTCCTAGATCATTTTCACTCTTAAATAATAATTTTCTTTTTCATTCAGTGAAAATTCAGTTGAAGCAGTTCGATATGCTGTCGGTGTATTGTGTTACATTTTTTAAACTGTACTCTACCCTTTTTATTCGTACGTGTAAACGAAATGTACGAATTTGTATGTAACAGGAGGACAACCAAACATTCATCCGGGTTCTATTTCGAGTACAGGACGGGGTCGCGTGGGCGGTACGGCTACAAGTACACAAGCGGCACAATTGATAGGCGGTGGAATAACTCCAAATATGTTTACGTCTCCTGCCACTGTAAGTACAATTCGACAATTTGCATTTTCACAATGAGCTATCAAAGCAAACAGAAATGTATCTTATATAAAATAATACAATAATTAGATAAAATCGTACAAGCATGAAATAATTGTTCTGCTGAAAGATTGTTACAATATGCGCGCGCGAGAGTGGTGTGCGTGTGCGTGTGTGTGTGTGAGAGAGATATAATATAAAAAAATATATAGTTTGCTGTAGATTTAGTAATAAAATTTACGTGAGAGACGGAAACTAAAGCAATACGTCTGCTTGCGTGACTTTCGCGCTACAGCTTGGTGTTACTTTCCAGCAATCGCTGGTCCTCGGCAACACTTCTCATTATCCAGTGAATCCCAGCCTGATGATCGGTGACTACGTGACTCCTGGGAACGGCATATCGCCGCAGGCATTTCGACAATGATCTATGGCGAAATTGTTTCTCGCCGAGTATTCCCGCAAAGTAAAGCAATTACAGAACGATCGTAATAATTGTAGCAGTATTGGAGACATCGGCAACAACAGTAAGCAAGGCCGCAAATTGGTATTTAGCTCCCCAATCAGTAAGCTTCGACTCTCGTCCGCCGTGCGAATTTTAAGTACCGTCAACCTGGCCAATCTCAATTCAGACTTTAGCCACAGCAACGTTGCTTATTCAAACAAAAGTACAGCCAGTACTCCCGGATTTGCGTTCGATTGGAATCCTGTCAGGAACAAGTCCCAATGGGAGGCACGTTGGAAAAGACTGCGAGCCGTCCTCTCGTAGTTGTCATTAGCTCTCACAATCGATTTTCATTTGGTCGTCACTTAGAAAAGAAAAGGAAAAGAAAAGATCTTCCATCGACGTGCATGCTTGCCAAATATATCCACGTGAAAATATAATATTTTTAATGACAATATACAGTCGCTATAGTATAGGCATCACTATTTTACGAAGTCTTGACATAAATCCGTGAAACTTGTGGTAAAGGAGAGAATCGGGAATGATCGCGCGTTGCGATCCGTTTTGTTTTTAATTCGAATTGAGATGATTTAGAAGCGACTCTACGTACTCGAAGACAGGCATATTTTACTAAGCTGTGTCGTTGGCTTGGTTGGGTTTCGATATCAAGCGACTTTTACACGAGTTTTTAGAATAGGGGGAAAAAAACAGCGACGTTTCGAACATTTTGAGAGGTGCAAAGAGCAATAATATATTAGGGGCATATGTTGTAAAGCACTCTGTGGCGTTACCTGTTATTCAGATGTCTCTTGCGCTTGTTTTAATCGACGTGTTTTTATTTTCGTTAGCATGACACAATACGCGAGAAAGTACAACATTTTTATGAGTATTAGCTATTGCCGCGTATATTTCAGTCCCCCTGTAAGTCCGTATCGAGATGTTTTAATTGTTTGATGGGTGTGAGGCAGTTATTCATCGATCGATTACGTTTCATAGATAAATTGTATATATATCCGAATGTATTACGCAAACATAGGACGTGGGATACTTCATCTAGAAAACTATAAACGGCGACCCGTTAAAGTCATCTCAAATTATCAACGTGACAAGTTACATTGCCATAATTTCTACATGTCGTTGCAGAGTTTATTACAAATGCACTACACACACCGGACAAGGATCACTCGAATGGAATCTTATAGTTTTATACAAGATGATCTGTAATTCGTAAAGTACAGCTTTGCGTTCCACCTCATTGTTTTTTTTTACACGTATTTTGTAATCGCGAGGAATGTCTATTTTGAAAGATTCTTAACGATATCTTTGATGAAAAATACAATGGCGCGTGTAATACACGTATTTTGTAATCGCGAGGGATGTCTATTTTGAAAGATTCTTAACGAGATCTTTGATGAAAAATACAATGGCGCGTGTAATACGATGTTAAGTTTCAAGCTGCATTATTCATCAATTAAAGTAGATATGTATCATATATTTTTCTCTTTCTCTCCGTCGTATCTATGAGCACGTTAAGTTATTTGCGTAAAAAATTTGTGTACGCGTGTATTTCGTACGTGATGATATTAGTAGAATAATTCATGACGCAATGTCTTTGAAAATGGACGTTTTTTGCGTCGATGATATATAGTATAGTAAGTGATACTTGGAAACACGCATATTACTTGTATTCGTAATAATCTTATAAAGCAAAACAGAAGTACACAGCCATAATGATTTTTCATCATCTTTAACTCTTTTCACTCATTGATACTACGTTATAAAATTGTTGCTGCGTAATCATTATTTAACGTCAATTATTACTTGTCTCGTCAAAAGACAGTAATGTTCATTAAAATTAAATTTAATAAAACTTTCATTGATGTTTGCTAATCCTTTATCTGATGACACAGATCTGAGTGTGAAGGGTTAAATTGTGGAAACATTGAACGTACTCTTGCAAAGCAAATATATGTTGAATGTTACATCCCATATTTGATGATGTTTAGTTCAATTAAGAATTTTTTAGTAAATAAATATGAGAATGAGGGAGGCCGTTAATCGCTAATCTGTATGGAAACTACTGTACATACACATTTCATATTCTCGAATATTTTTATATATCGTTTAAGAATATACTGCTCGATCCACCAGAAATAGTGCAACTGAATAATATTTTTAGATTTGAAGAGGCAGGTTATTTAAAATTATACGAATTATTCGGTAATACATCAGTATGTCAGAAAAACTCGGGTCGTGTCGCGAATCTCATAAAGAATTTCGAGCGTAAGAATATTATTCTTTAATAGATTCCCTTCGAGAACGAAAAAAGTAAAAATATATTCTGTGCACGTTTCACAGATATCTTCAAATCTAGAACAATTATTCAGGTCTTCTGTTCCTGACGCACTATCGTGTATAACTAAGATCTCGAGAGGATTCTTTTAAGTCTCATTATTAGGTTTTAAGGAACACTTTACACTTTATTTGTTATCTGCACACATTTGCCATCTAAACGCACTCTCTAGTTACCTCATCCGCCGGTGAATAAATGTGGCTAGATAGTTTGTACTTACTCTTTACAGGATCTGTCATACCTTGCGTACACGCACACTTACGAGAAGTGTAAATACGTGCGTCGCTATTTCTCGATGAAGTATTTCCAGAGAGCAGAAGTATCATACGCTTGTTAATACGCGCCTCGGCATATATGCAAACCAATCTCGTGACAGGCATTCCACAAGTGCTACTAATACTGCATGGTTTGTTGTAATAATTAATGTAAGGACTTGCTTCTTCCATCGTTTCTTTGGGATGGTAACACCGTCGGCAATACCTAGAACGTAACACCGTCTTGTTCCCTGTCCATCTTTTTGTACATCACCGTCGGGAGATCAACGACTTAATATTAAGGACAACGGGGCAACGTTTAACACCGCCTACGCTTTTAGGTCTTGCTCTCGGCGTTATCTTACATTGCTGTGGATGTATGCGTTTCTTTTTCATTTTGTACCGTTAGAATATCGAATATATAAGACTGCTACACCGCTCGGAAAAAACATATACGCGATATTACATATCTCATCCCAGTTGTGTCCTTTGCATTTTTTGTCGTCTCCATTTTTGTATCATTCCGAGGGTTTTCTTTTTTAAGGGATTTTCCGCACAGCCAACGTTCCGTTAAAAGATACGATTGTGACGGCTTCTTCTCCAAATCATTAATTTTTTAATCGGATCTCGAGCGTTTTATTCCTGAACTGGGGTACAAAGTTCGTTAGCTAGCTTTCGCTCGTGTATGTTTTCTGGCGGTATATCCGAGTATTAATTAGTCCAGCAGTGTTATATAGGAATCTGTGCGTTTCAACGACTGAAAACTATATAAGATATCTCAGGTAGTTAGGCGAGCTCGAAGAATGCCTTTACTGCGCTAAGTGTCTGGATTTTGTTCGGTTCTTTGAACCAATCTCTTTTTCGCGATTACGACAACAGATGCAGTGCGGACGGAGATTTTTGTTCTTACGATTCCGTATCTCGGTGAAGCGTAGGCATGACTTGACGAAAACATTGTATAATCGCATAAAATCAGACTCATACAAATATAATCTCTGTAACTGTGTAGTGAAAATTGACCAGTCATGTTTAAGACAAGTTTTTCCTCGAACTGACGATTTCCTTCGTTATGCCTGTGGGACTACTCATTTCACGTGTTAATTTTTCAAGGAATGTTCCGGCGATTCTTGCAGATAACATTCTGAGTAATGCCTAAATGATTTTAATCGGAATTGCAAACCGTTCATTTGTAGATTTTACTTTTGCAGATTACCGAAGCTTCGAATTCCAAAACGTACGATTTATATAAAAGTACGTCGCTTTTTCTGCCGTGCACGTGTGAGAATAAAGTTCTACTCAAATGGAAGAGAAATTTGACGCATCAGAAATTGTAGTACTTACAGATAACAGGATTGCAGTAAAGCGTAAACATCGGTTTTAACATGACATTACTAGTGTGTTATATTCATTGTAAATACGACAATATTTTTGCAGCAAACGCAACCTTTTTTACCGTTTGTACGAAATTTTTGTTTCGTACATTGTGCACGCGCAGTTTCCAGGTGTCGTTTGCCGAACGCAAACGCGTCTGGCAAACTCGTAATGCCCTCGCTTATATTTTAATAAGTTTTAACAAATTTCGTGTTAACGATACATCACGCGATAATTTACTGTCAATTAGTAGAATATTGTTTTTTTGTAAGAAATAAGTTTTTGACGTTTCAGTTTCACTCGAATGCGACTGTATTACGCTGAATTAGTCATGTATAATTAGGAGTATACGAATATAAGCTTGCGATAAGTTATTTGATTTCTTTTTGTCGAAATCCGCCAGGCAGCAATCTTTGGAATTGAGATCTTTTTCTCTTCTCCCAGAGAGCCTCATTTTTAATAAAAATATTTCAACGAATTGTCTAGCATGTATGTGTATTTTATGTGATCATTAAACCTTTTTGCAATTACGACCCGCCAATTGTAAACTTTTGCATTTATATCATCATTATATTTTGTCGTTAAAGGCGAGCAACTGAAAAGATGCGGTGGAAACGATATTCATTGCAAGCGAGACTCACAATTGTAATACATTATTATGACTCGATTAATTTTACGTAATTTTACAGCGAAACTGTTCGAGTCTGAAACAGCTGTTTTCCTGTGAACTGAAATTCTTGTTCAGCAATCTCTTCCTCCCCCCCCCCCTCTCTCTCTCTCCCTCTCCGCTGCATATTTGCCACGTAATTGTATGCAAACTTTTCGGCCGTGTTACAAAGATTTTATTATACAAATTTCTTTCCCTTGCAGTTGCAAATGTGTGTAGAAATATTGACGGTGTAAAACAACAACTTTGTCCACATCGATTCATGTTCCCTCTTATATAACACTTTTTACAGAACTACGCTCGGCAATGTTGCGTAATGGATATCCCGCTCTTCAAAAAATTACATAACAAACATTATTGACGAGTACAAGTACCATTGTTCCTTGTACATAAAACAGATCCCTCATCCACACGTTCTCTTTATTCACTTTCCGTTCCAGCCGATGACGACGTGGGCAATCATCAGATACACCATAATCGTTATGGTGCTCGTTAGCATGATGGGAAATCCTACCCTGCAACACATCTTGTGCTTCAGTACTCAATTATGACATTCAATGGCAGGAAAACGGCAAGATCTGTGAAACGCGGTGACGCATCTGGCCATTTAACGCGCAACTCCGCGATCGTCGCGGTCTCACTCACTTGAAGAACTGCATGAAACTGAATCTGTAGCCGTGCTGTTCCGCGACACCCATGCAAACAACGTTGGCAGTAGCTCCAATCAAAGTTCCATTTCCTTAAAACATAACTGTTCAGCTAAACAAGACTGTTATTCAGCCATGTGAATACTGGAAAAACTGGCGCCCCTGCGTTGCGGCTTGTAGGCGCCGGTTTTCGAGGCATGGCCCTTGGATTATATCGTTAATCCGACGCGATCGTGCGGACCGAATCGGGTCGACGGCAGTACGAAGCTCGAAGGACAGATTTTACATTCGTGGCGGACTTCGCAGCTACGGATTGACTTAGCTCCCGAGCACAATCGTTGGATCTAAAAAATGTCTTACCTCCCATACAGGCGCCGAACGTCAGCGCCCACACCAGGGGCTGCATGGGCAGACCGAGCTCGCGGTTGTGGGCGAGATTCGACGCGATCCTCACCATCATGGTGGCGAGCGGCACGTTGTCGACGAAGCAGCTGGCGAAGGCCGACACCCAGAGCAGCAGCAAAATAGCAACCGCTAATCGCGACTCCTCGTTGACCGACAGAATGAAATCCTCGGTTTTCTTGCCGATCCACGAGATGAGGCCCAAACGCGAGAGTGCCTGCGGAAATTGGTTTTTAATGTTAAACCTCCCGGTGGGTTTCCGTCAGTCCGAGAGGACCCCGTCCCGAGGAATCCGCGTTAAAATTGGCAGGAATTTTTCCAGAGCTTTCCCGAGAACGCTACCTCCATGAGAATGAACAGCGACGCGAAGAACAACAAGGTGCTCCACTCGACGCGCGCCATGAGGCCGTCGAAGTCCTCGCTGTCGGCCAGTATCAGAAGCAGCAGAACGCCGACCAGGGCGATCCAGCCCAGAGACAGGTTTAAATGAGGCAAACTGTGCAGGAAGAAGAGCGTGATTACGAAGGCCAGCACGAATCCCGATTTCACCAACAACCACCTGTCCCTGATTGGATACTGGAAAAGAACGCGCTCGTAAAAAAAAATGCGCGAAAGGCCGCTGCAATTGCCAGTCGCAGCGCAATGACGCGGTCCTCGAAGGACGAGGGTTCGTCCGGCTTGCCTTTTCTTGTAACTCCTCGAGCGTGGTCTTGTACTTCTCTAGCGCCGCGCTCCCCGTGATCAGCTTCTTCTTTAGCTGCGACAACAAACGCTGCACTTTCTTCAGCAACGTCTCCCTCACCAGATTCTCGTCCTTGCTGTAAGTGGACAGGCTGGCCGCCGCTCGTTGCCAAATAGCGATCGTGTGCCTCAATTCCTGGACAGTCGTGCGCGCGAGATGATAATTTAATATTACATTTTCTAGCCTGCCATACGATTTACCTGCACGTCCTGCGGCTCGTCGAATCTGAGGACCGTGACGTCTCGAAAGATGTAGCGGACTTGCGCGCTGACCACGATCAACACCAGTATCACGCCGATGCTCATGTGCAACGAGAACGTGCCAAAGTCTACCTCCTGAAGGGATAAAATTGATCGTCAGGCCGACGTTTATTCCCGAGCGAGGCGGCTTCAACTTACCGCGTTCTTAACGTCCCGATTGGAGGCGATGATGACGTTCGGTGGGTCGCCGACCGGCGTCATGGCGCCCCCGATGTTGGAATAAACCACCATAGCGGTCAAGATCGGCACGGGGTTCAGCTCCATCACTTCGCACAACCTAATGGTTACCGGGGTCATCAGCAGCACCGTCGTTACGTTGTCCAGCAGCGACGACAGGAACGCGGTGAAGAAACAGAGGGCCATTATCAACGGCCACAATCTCCCGGCGGTGATCTGAAAATGACTGGCGAGTAAGACGGGGCTTTGACTCTTACGCTTTAGACACGTGCCGATTTCTGTCTTTCTCACTTTGTAAGCGTAGACCGCCAGCCAGTCGAACACCCCGGTTTCGGCGATGATGGCGACCAGCACCATCATGGAGAACAGTAGCAGCAGCGTGTCGATGTCTATCCAAGAGATCAGCTCGTCCATGGTCGGCCGCTAAAGAGTACAAGGTGCGCCGCTTCTTAAATTTGTCCCTTGGGAAAAATTCCAGCGTGGAAGTTAAAAGGGTGGTGCGTACCTCGTTTAGAGCCGCCAGCATCGCGATGGACATCGTGGACGCCAGCATGGCAGCCAGAGCTCTGTGCACGACCTGATTCGGTTGAACATGACGAGACATTTAGGAATCAACGGGCGTAAGCACATCCTAATTCGCGTGCATCGATTTACCTCGAAAATGATGAGGATGTACAGGCCGATCAGGATGAAAGCGGCGTACGGTATGCCGGTGTCGGCGTTTATCGACGACAGATCGTAAGCTATCGAAAAGGAGAGGCTGGACTTGGAACTCGTGCGCAGCTTGATGAACATTATGCTGTGCGACAGGGTCCTACAAGCAATATAGTGTCATTTCATCAGGGGAGACTCCGTTTGAGATATCTCTGCTGGCGTTTCTTTTCTGCAAAATCTATTTTCGTTAGGTCTGAGTTCAAAATACGAGATAACGCACTCGCTGTCGGCGTTTACTTGGAAAGTCCTCTGGCGCCTCTGATCGGGGAAGAGGTTCATCAAATTGTCAGGCAGCACCGGCAAGATCCACACGTCACTTACGTTCTGCAGCTAACAATCGCAAATAAAGCACCAGTAGCTTACGTCGCAGCATAATCACCCAATATAAGCAAAGTGTTAGCAAATGTTTCCGACAGATTTGGCTATTTGGAGAAGTACGCGCGGCATACGATGTAATATAATTAAGATTCCTTTACATTACGTTTACGAAAAGTCTATGAAAGGATCGCGGGAGAATGCTTGAAATAACGGAAAACAATTTAACTGATTTCTTTTCTTTTCTCTGTGTTTCAGGATTGGTCTCGCGTTCTTTCGATGCAAACGCGAGTGTATGCGGAATAATTTTGCGCAGATCGCGCGTTTAAAGAGGTAGACACCTTCAAGTTGTCCAGTTCGGTAGAGGAGAGCCACGAAGTGGTTTCCCCGTCCGCCAGAAGCTGCAGCCATACCATTAAATAGTGCGTGGATAAATTCGCAGGTAAATACTCCTTGTTTTTGACCAACGGCAGCAACGGTCCTTCCATCGTCACGCTGATCAACTTGCTGGTAACGCGCTCGTTGATCTGGTAATCTGTGTATCATTAAGGAGGTAAGAGTGTCCGAACATTATTTTACGATTCACGAAATTTCACTTCTCCCGAATTGCAATTCAAAATAGACGAGCGTTCGCAGTTTGAATTGACCCGATCGACTAGAAGGATACTCTTGCTTTCTCTGCTGGACACAGACACCTGGTGCATCGTCTCGGCCCTCTCGTTCTTAAACATCAGTATCGTCTGCAACACGGACGGACATGAGATTCGTTAATTGGGCCATCGGCGCGACGGTATCTTACTGTGAATAGTAGCCAACAGCAGGAGAGCACGATTAACTTCATGTAGCGGCAAAACGGCCTCTGTTTCTCCTGCGTTTGCACATCCTGCCCGTCTTCGTCGACGTTGGTCTGATTTTGCGTGCTGTGAGGATACCGGGATCGTTACGTCCGCAACATTCCGCGAATCCGTAGGGTAAAAGTAAAAACTGCGGAGTGGCTTACCTGCTTGGTACCACGGGCTGTGTTCCGAGAGACATATTCACAACTAGGCAGTCTCTTCTTACATTGTCGAGAGACCTGGAAACGCGTTACGTAGAAACTCTTTTCTTTCCCCTCCGATTCCTAGACGTCGGTATTCATAGTCGGATCTTATATTCAAGACCGGCTTGAATTTATCCAAAGATGCTATGCGGGACATTTTCCCAGATAGCACACATAGTTCTATGAATATTCTTCTGGAGTGCAAATATTCTTAATTTTAGAATATTCCAATCAAATATCTGATCCGACTATGAATACCGACCCTAGTGAAAATTTTTCTCAGAATTTTCGAGATTTTTTTCAATCATTTTCTTTACAAAAATGTTTTATGCTCATTTCGTTCACCTCGTTTCCGCTATTCGATCGTACTCCCTTTGAAAGACCGCCAAACTCGGATCCAAGCGGATCGCCTCCGGCAGCTGACCCCAGGCGCGGAGCACCTCCTCGGGGATTTGTCCAAATACCACGGAGCTCGAAACGGAGGAGGAGGGACTGATCGGGCTGCGCAAAACTTTGAGGACACTCGTTAGGCTGATGGCAGAGAACGATCCATGAACGCTCAAGTCTGTCTTTTGGTAGTCGTATGTACAACAGACTTTCACGACTTAAATCTTTATCTGCCTTGCCATACGTCTATGACTAAGACAGACTTAAGCGTTTACGGATCGTCCTCTACCATCAGCCTTACGGAATTGTATCCAGATTGCAAAATAGAGATTCGACGAAGATTACAGGCTGCTAGCATTCTTGAGAATTGCTCTATCGATTATTCTCTCGTGCTTTGCAGCTTAACAAGCAGATTTCGATTTGATCTTACAACAATTTTACAAAAGGCAATTGTCTTCGCCTGGAAAAAAAACTCTATCCGAAAATATCTTCATTAGAGCTGTATATACAAGTATCGCATGGAATCTAAGAGATCCAGACTTCTGCTCGCGTATACTTGTAGTCCCGGGGGTTGGTACAAAGTTTCTGTTATCCTTACGTGTACAAGAATTACTGCGGCTGTGAGATGTCGTGCTGACGAACACCCGTGGCGGTTGCAGGCCGGTTTCATCGTCGCTCGTGTCGTTCGACATTATCGCCACTAGATCCGCAACTCGCCCGCTTCCGTCTCTTATTGCGCACAGAATTTTTGTTGAATCGAAACGTCCGTTCTATTAAATCCGCGCATTTTCTTTACGCAGTGCCGCACGCCACGTTCCAATCACGAGCCCCGAGAACACACTGTGCCGCTGTAGGAACTCGGCTCGTATTCGCGAGAATCTCAGAGAGGTCACTTTACAGATTATTTACATTGTGCACGTAAACAGCTATGGAGCTTATAGAAATTCGAATTAAAATATATTGCGTGGAATCTCTCGTCGAACGGGTCGTCTTTACGCGATCGCGGGGATTTTTCTAACTCGTGAAAAATCGCGCATCGTGTAAAATCGAATTGAAATGCAAGAAGCAGCTTCAGTGACGTTCGGTTAATGCGATCGCCGAGATTTTTGTAAGCTGTTGGCAGAGAACGATCTGTAAAGGCTGGTCTACAATACATGGAGTAAGCTGGAA